CATCTGGCAAATCCCTCCCCAATTCCAGTGTCCCCCAGAGGCAGGGTGAGGCCATCGGGGATGGCATAAGGCATCACATGCCGCGCTCCAGCACAGGAGCGCTTGAGTTGTCGTCCCCGTCTTCCCCTTGCATGCAGCTCGGTTCTTTTGGTCCACATGCGAGCCATGGCTCAGCACAGATTCCCATCCTCACCACCCTCCCTTTCTCTGCCCAGACTTGGCCATTGACGTCCCTGGTCACGGGAAGGTGGTGGTCGACATTGGCTACGGTGGCACTTTTTACGCCTTTCTCAGCGCCGAGCAGCTGGGCCTTGATGTGTGCTCTTCAAAGACCAGAGACCTTGTCAATGCAGCGAGCGCGGTGACGGAAGCGGTGAAGAAACAGGTATGGCAGCGTGCTGCAGTACCCCAGCATGTTCCCTTCGGGGTGACTGCACCAGAACATGGCCCTTTATTCCCCTGAGATGCTCAGGATGGGAGGGAGTCCCATCTTCCCAGCCCCATGTTGAATTTCAGAGTCCTCCTCCAGCCTCACAAGGGTGAGAAGGAGTTTGCTTTCCTGCTGCTGTGTCCGTCTCTGTTACTGGAGAAGCAGAGGTGGAAATGCAGCAGTGTTGCCTTGTCCTCTTTCTCTCGTCTCTTGGGGAAGCTGTACTGCATGTACTGTTGACTGCCCAACTGCTGCGCATGTTGGTGAACTTGTCTGTGCTGTTCCCAGTTCAAGCTTCATCACCCTGAAAGCGAAGACCTGGCTTTCCTCTACGGCACCATACTGACAGATGGGAAAGACACCTTTAGTGAGGAGCCCACCACCAACATCTGTGTGTTCGCAGATGAACAGGTATGGAAACGGGCTCTCCTCAGACACACAAGGCACCACCTTTTTCCCTTCTTACATCCTCCACAGAGGCGAGGGATGGTTCTGCTGCTTCTCGTTTTGGGCAGCGATCATTGCTTCTGCTACAGTGATGTCTCTGAAGAGCTGAGCGTCACTTAACACGTGCAGTTTTAGCTCCTAATGACAGAAATACTTCTGCACATCTTAGATGGTGGCATTTTGAAAAGGTTCATACCCATGCCCTATAACTAGGAATTTCCCAGGAATTCAGGGGCTGAGGCGGGATCCCCACAGACGTAGTGTATGTTCTTAAAGTCCTAATCTAGGGAACAGCTGCTGGGGATCAACAGAGCTGGAGAGAAAAGAGGGGGTGTAAACTTTTATCCGTGCGTGCTGTGGGTAAGTGTCATGATCCAGACTGGGCTGCCCAGGGAGGATTGTTGCAGTTCTGTGATTCTCTTGGGCTAAATTAAGGTGAAATGACGAAACGATCGATTAAACACTTTACTGATGGTAAAAAACCAACCTGAACTTGGAAAGCATAACAGTAGGCAACCTGAACTAGGAAAGCGTAACAGTAGGCAATGTGAGCCTAACTGGAATACTTATAAGAGGAAAGGAAAAAGAAGAAGAGGTGGGGGGAGAGAGAAATATCACCACCCTTGGATCCCGCGATGTTGATGGTAAACGTAGCAATCCTCCGGTGGTGGGCGCGCACGTGGCTCCTTGGAGTTGTGTCTTTTATGGTCATCCCCGATGACCAGTCCCCCCCTCTGGTCTCACTCCCTTGAGGACTTACGTGGTTCTTGTTCCAGAATGTTCTTCATCTTCTGCGCAGGCACCATTGTGGGAGGTGGTCATGAGCCCCCTCCTCAAATGAACTGTGTATGACCTCTGGCCATACATAGTAAGTTGTAAGGCACGGCAGAAGGCAGAACTGTGCATCCTCCCACACGCCTTTCCGGCTCTGGCTTCTCACCTGTGGTTTAGTGGTACTGTGCAGACCCTAATTTATCACCATGAAGACCTTAACTTGTCTGGCCATAATGTTTGAGACATCAACATACATTAACTCTTTCAGTCTCTCCCAGTAAGGTATCACATAAATAGCAGGGGAAGTTTTGGTTGGACTTCCCAGCAGTGAGGAGTGTGGATTGTTGGAACAGATTGCTTCCAAAAGCTGGCCAACGCTGTGTTTTTGGAGGTTTTAAAGACCAGGCTGGGCAGCAGCTCTCAGTTAGTGTAAGGAGAACTGATCCTACCTTGACATGTGAGAATGGGGAAGGTGGCCTCTGCCCCTCTCAGTCCTTTTGCTGTGATGCTGGGAAGCTTTCAAGCACTCCCTAAATAGCCTCAGTGTTTATTAGATTACTCGTCCTTACTAGTTTGCCAAAGCTGATCGCAATCCAAAAGTCCCCCAAACCTGCTTATTTTGTCTTCTCATTTGTGATGTGTCCTGATTCTGTACAAACCCCTGGGCTAGGCAGATTTCCCCCAAGTGCAGTATAAAGGTGGCAAAGAGAACTGATGGGAACAATATTGTTTTCTGTTAAAACCCAAAATATTAGAGCTGGTTCATCTTCTGTTCTGAATGTAGGTTGACCGAAGTCCGACAGGTTCGGGTGTGACAGCTCGCATCGCCTTGCAGTACCATAAGGGACTCATCCAGCTGAATCAGACCAGAACCTTTCGGAGCAGTACCACAGGGTCCTTGTTCACCGGGAAGGCAGTGCAGGCAAGTGGCTTGTGCTGGACTTTCCCTCTGGCTTGAGGACTGCTGGAAAAGTGGTGTTGCCTTGACCCAGTGGAGCAGCAGAAAAGCCTTTCCGTGCCTGGGGAAGGGTAAATGGAAGGAGGGAGGTGCCTGGGGGTCTTGACTTCCCACAAGCCTCACGCTTCAGGATTTTTTATTAGGGAAGCAAGTAGCAGTAAGACCTTGTTCTGTTTTGTGGCTTCCCTTCAAATCCTCCCTCAGCCATCAGGAAAGGACTGCGCACCTCAACAGCTTGTTGGCCTCCTTTGAGGCAAACCCAGGCTATGGCGGTGCAGGGGGCTCGCAAGCTCAGCACGGGGGCAGCAGCTGTCATGCAGGTGTGGGGCTCGTGCAGGCAAGGTGAAGCAGTAAAAGGGCTGCTGCATGCTTTGGGATGTACCAGGGCAGAGCGCTCGGTGAGGGGTGTCTCTGCCTAAGTGCCAGGTAGCGCTGGCATTTCATGGGGTTGGGAGAGCGGGCAACCTCCTGTCGCCTCTGTCCTGATCCTAATCCCTCTGCAGGAAGCCAAGTTTGGGGACTACAACGCTGTTGTTGTGGAAGTCTCAGGAGAAGCCTTTTACACCGGTACAGCCACCTTCACTGTCGAAGAGGAGGACCCGCTGAAATACGGCTTCTTCTTCAAGTGATCTGAGCCACTGGGCAGGGGCGAAGTCTCACTGATGGTGCTGCGCTTCTGCTCATGCATTCCTGTTCTGCTTCTCCACACGGCTCATTGCAGTATGCCAGAGCAACATGAACAGCCTTTGGTGGTGTGGCAGCATCTGCTGCGTTTCAAGATAACAGGCCGTGTTCCCCTATTGTGATTAGCATATTGGGTGCAATGTGATTAGCATATTGGGTGCAATGTGATTAGCATATATGGGCTGCTCTGAGAAGCCATAATCTTTTTCTTCTTTCTTATCAATAATTATTTGCGAAAATGGAGCTGATCTTGGAGAGCTGTCTTCAAATTTATGTGCCTTCTCTATGCCTGCAAATTACTAATTTCAAAGCCAGCTTCCTATTAAACGCCAGCTGAAGACACTGCCTTTCTCCTCTTGTTTTCACCCCCGGAGCTCGTTTCCAGGACTCTGTTGAGTGTACCATGGCTGTTGGTTTGGATTGCCTGCTCTTCCTCCATGCCTCCCGCTCAGCCGGTTGTGCTGCTCCGTCTCATGCCCCAGCTTCCCCAGCCTGCCCTGCTCAGGCCTGTCCAGATGCCCCCTTCCTCACTGCACTCGCTTCACCACTGCCAGAGCCCTCCTGCCTCCTGGGGCTGGGTGCAGGTGCTCAGAACTTGCTGCTGTCCCTGCTGCGTGTCCAGGTTACGCTGCTTCCCTAAACCTTCCTCTCTTGCTTATCTTGGACCATTGGCTGCAGATACCCCATGGTTAACTTTCAACAGGAGTAGCTGTATTCCAAGGTCTGATCCACTATGACCTTTGATTGCAAAATTATTTACTGATGATTTTGTCTCAGCCTGGGGGCAGCTTGTGCAGCAGAGTGCAGTCAGTGTGTGCTTTGCCAGAGTCCATCGAGGCAGGGTTGCCAGTGCAAAAACCAAACCAAGCCCTGGGTTGTAGGCAGGCTTTTGCAGTGGCAGAAGCAGAGCTTCAGACCACTTGGGGCCTGTAATTTTCACTGTCTGGACAAAATGGTGTTCGTTTATTGAAGACAGTCATGGGAATGTGCCTTGTTAAAATGAGACATGAAAATGAGAATTATCATCTCCTGGTAGCTCATGCAGCAGAAGCGAGCAAGTTGCACTGCAGAGCTTGGAAAAGGTTGGCATGGATAAGCTTGAGAGGAATTTCTTCTGTCAAATTGAAAATTATAACTTTCAAACAGGAAGAAACAAAAATCCCCACATTCAGAGAGTATCTGCGCTGCCAGTGGAGGTTTACTAGGCTGGCGCCTGGGGCTGTGGTGGTGCAGCCCCCCGGGCCACTCTGAGATCCCAGGACAAGCCCTGTCGTGCTGTTCTCTTGGTCACAAATGTAGTGACTCGGCGTCAGGTGGTCTCTGTCCACACCTGGGCCATCTGCTGCCTGAATTGTGTACCAGAATGACTCGGCATGAATTGTGGCCAGAAAGTAAAATACGGACCGAAGCCAATCATCTTGAGATCCCATAAATAGCGATCCAAAAGGGAGACCTTTTGAGCTCTCCGGGACCGCGGCGGGCTGTGTGACCCAGTATCTGTCCCTGAGCTGGGATGCCTCTCAGGGTAGATTTCACGAGGATTGAAGGACCGTCTGTCGACGATTTCGCGAGGACTCAAAAGGCCTGATTTCATGAGGTTCACTGCCCGCCCATTGATGAATGCCGGCACACAAAAGTGAGTAATTAATGAAACTCATGAAAAGGGAAATTTTAATCACAGGTTAACCTCTGTGTGTGTACGTGCAGTTTGATTCAGAACTGTTTGTCTGTCTGTGCGTGTGTGATTTGATTTAAGGCTGCTTGTCGGTCGGTCTGTGTGTGATTTGATTTAAACCCCATCTGTGTGTGCAACCCTGCTGTAAGTTTCGGGTGACCCTTGCCATTCTCAAATCTTTAACTAAGTCTCTATTTTGATTGTAACAAGTTCCATTGAATTACTCTGTTAAAGTGGCTGATGCTTAAGTGCTGTTAAGAATTATACAACCTAATTCTGTGATCTCTCTCAAAAATATTAATAAATCTTAAATTGCTGCTAAACCAAAACCATGTAAAAAAAATCATATTCACAACAGGGGCTCTTGCTCCTAGCTTTCCTGTAACCCCTGGATAAATCCCGTCCAGTCGGGGGGAACAAGAAGTGACACACATCCTCCATGCTTGCAGGAGCAAACTCATCCGTGTGATTCTAGCTTCTGGGCATCTCCCTTGTGATCAGCCCCCCAGCCTGGCTCCTGGGGAGGAGCTGGGGCAGCAAGTCACAAAGCCCAGCACAGAAACGTCAGAAGCTCTTCAGCCATTAATTGGGTCACAGCCTTCATTATCTATTTACTATCCCTAAGATATTTTTCACGTAGGGGCAAGCAGCTCCAGCATGGCTGAGAGCGTTGGGACAGGATCCTGCTGCCCATGTGGGGGTCCCTGGCCTGACCCCTCAACCCCTCAGCTTGTGAGACCCCAGCCCGGAGAGTGTGGGGGGTGGTCCCGGCTTCTGCCGGAGCATCTGGGGGTAGCTGGCGCCTGCCTGTCCTGATGGGCTGCGGGGCTGTGCAGGAGAGGGGCTGTGAAGGGAGAGGGTCCGTGAGGGGAGAGGGTCCGTGAGGGGAGAGGGTCTGTGAGGGGAGAGGGGCTGTGAAGGGAGAGGAGCTGTGAGGGGAAAGGGTCCGTGAGGGGAGAGGGCTGTGAGGGGAGAGGGCTGTGAGGGGAGAGGAG